AAATTAAATTATAGTGATGGTTGCACAACTTTGTGTGCATACTAGAAACTGTTGAATTGTGGACTTTAAATGGTAAACTTTATGGTATATAAATTGTATCTCAATAAAACTTTTTTTTTTTTTAAGAGACTACCAATTTGCCATTCTAAAAGAACATTGGTTAGTGTTCTTTGGTTACAAGCAATACAGACCAATTCTGGCTAAGTCATGTAAGAAGGGGAATTTTTGAAAGAACACTAGGTAGCTCATAAAATGAAATTTGAGAAGTCTTCTCTGCACTCATTTTTCCACAGTAGAAATTTTTGTTTTACTGCCTGGGCAGTAGCCTGGCTGTGAGTGTTTTGTGCCTAAAGGTGGAGGAATTGGGTGGTCTGAATACAGACACTGTTCATCTTTTCTTGTCAAGCCTGTGTCTCGCTCCCACTCCAAGTCTCTGGAAGTAGCAGGACAAACTGGCCCCCTGCTTGTGAGCACAGGAAGCCCCAGCGATTTCTGCCTCATATGTCCGTACTAGTTCCTCCATCTGCTTTCCCTATTCAGAAAAAAAAATTGATTCGGGTCTGTGCCTATTGGGGGATAATAAGGCAGACATGGTGAAGTGTTACCAGCTGAGTGATCTGAGCGAAGAGTAGATGTGTTCCTATTCAGAAGCTAGACAACCTGCAAATGTGGCATTTCCATGTGGATTAATTCTCCATCATGAAACTACAAAACCTAGAACTGTTTCTCATAATTACTATGGTCATTAGTCTTTAAAGAAACATTTTGTTGTGTTGTTAGCATCTCAGAATCTTTTCAGATGTTACTGTTAATAACAGTAGCTAGTATTTGAGTATGTGCCAGGCAGTGTGCTTTATATGAAGTGTGTTAAGTATTAACCTTTTTAACATCCAGTGAGGCCTCTTATTGTTCTCATTTTATTGAAGAAGAAACTGAGGCTTCCAGGTTAAGTAGCTTGCTAACGTCACACAGCCATCAAGTGGTGGAGTTGGGATTCAGATTCAGATTGCGTGACTCCAGAATTTAGGCTCTTAACTACTGCATTCCGTGTATCTACAGAGTATTTATGACTGCATTCTTGTTAATATTTTATTTTGAAATAATTTCAAGCTCATACAATTATTGCAAGAATGAAACCAAGAAATTACATCTGCTCGTCACTCAGATCACCCAGCTGTTAACACTTTACCATGTCTGCCTTCTTATCCCCCAATAGGCACAGACCCGATTCAGTTTTTTTTTTTTTTTCTGAACCATTAAGGGTAAGTTGCAGACACTGCCTCCACTGAAATACTTCCATATATATTTCCTAAAAACAAAGATATTCTTCTAAACAACCATCCATCAATTTTAGGAAATTAACCTTAATACAATATTACTGTAGGGACTGTTCATATTTCACTGGTTGCCTCAATAATGTTCTTAATAGCAAAAACCAAAAACAGTATCTTTGTCCCTCCCCCACTCCTTTCTGGTCCAGGATTACATGTTTTATTTGGTAGTTGTGTCTCTTTAGGCTCTTTTGGTCACCAGTCATTCTTCAGTTTATCCTTATCTCATTTTGTGTTTTCTGGTTTTCCCCTATGAATAGATTCAGGTTTTGCATTTTGGGGAGGAATATCACAGAAGTAAGTGATGCTGTGTTTTTCTTAGTGTATCTTATCAGGAAGCATACGATGTTTTGTTCCATTACTTGTAATGTTAACTTTCATCCCTTTGTTAACATGGACTGTATTAACAAATATATATAATATGGACTATATTAACAAAGTAATGAAAGTTAGTGCTCTATTTCTCCACTGTAAAGTTAAATATTTTGTACTTTCATTAATTAGTAATATGTATTTTGGGAAGAGCTAATTTGATACTCTAATAATATCCTATTCATCATCCATCTTTCACCAACAAGTTTAGCATCCATTCATTATTCTTTTCTGTGTTAATTATCATCATCCCAGATTTAGCTAGAGGAAACTCCCTTCAGTCTGACTTCTGTGTACTTTTTGATATGTTCATGTTGTTCTTTGAATGCTTCCTTACTTCTGTCATAGGATGTTCCAGGTTTATCTTGTACTTTCCTTATTCTAGTCCTAGAATGAACTTCTCCAAGGAGCATTGGTTCCTTGTAGTGGAGAATGTATTTAGAAATCAAGATTGTGTCACCATATCTACTCATTGCTACTTAGGTGGCATTGATTTTGAGCTCTCTCTGGATAGAGCTAGGAAATGTGTGTGTGTGTATATACACACACACACACACACACACACACACATTTACATATATATTTGTTTATATTTATACAGACACATACATACCTATGTGTATATCTCATATATATTTGTACACACACATACACTCATGTACACACACACAAACGTATGTGTATATCTCCTAGCTCTGTCCAGAGAGAGTCCAGAATATATACGTATACATATATATACACACACACATATACATATGTGTTTGTAATGACTATGAAATGTATATATATTATACATATATACATTTACATTTATATATACATTTAACTATATTTGTATAATCACATAAAACTGTAAGCTTAAACTGATACTTCAGTTCTACCAATACGAATATGGGATTTATTCTGCCCTCTGCTTTTCCATATTTATACCTTGCTTCTCCAACTGTGAGGAATCTGATTCCGTTTATCCCTAGTACATTTGCCTCTTTGACCTGTGTCCGCGTTGTAGCCAATTTCCTGACCCACAGACCTTCGTCTGGACCCTGGTTCCACTCATGGCCACAGGGGCCGACTTTCTCCTGGTTCCCATGACTGCATTTTAAAGTCACATTTAACTACATTTTATTTCTTCTTTTCTTTTTTTTATTGTCCAGGTCTTCCAAGATTTGCTAGCCAACCAGAACCTTCTTCAGTTTATGCTGGGAACAGTGCAGTTCTGAATTGCGAAGTCAGTGTGGATCTGGTCCCATTTGTGAGGTGGGAACAGAACAGACAGCCTCTTCCTCTGGATGATAGAGTCATCAAACTTCCAAGTGGGACACTGGTTGTGAGCAACGCCACTGAAGGAGACGGAGGGCTCTACCGCTGCACAATTGAGAGCGGCGGGCCGCCGAAGTATAGCGATGAAGCGGAGTTAAAAGTTCTTCCAGGTATCCCCCTGTCATCAGGACCCGTGGTTTTATGTTCGTTAATGGATAAAAATGGTTCTTTTAGAATTTTCTTTTTTCATCAAACACTGTCAGGTGTGTGGTGTGACAAGTTAATGTCAGCATAGGAGTTTCAGTTTTTTACAGGGGGAGAAAAGAAAACGTGCCAGGAAGATCCTCTCTTTAGTGAATACATTAGTCAGTAAAAATGTATCAAGTGATAAAATGTGTTTCATATCTATGGCTTTCTTCTTGGCCAAACACTAGCTTTGTGTCTTTCGTCAAGCATCCATCTGCTACTTCCCTGTAATACTTCATACACTTAGGTGTCTTTACCCGTCAGCATCAGAGACTCGCTCAGGCTAGTTCATAGAAGGGATGCGCAGAATGGTAACAAAAACAGCATCTCTGGAGACACTGGTAAGCAAGAGTCCTTGGATCTTTATAACACTCCCTTATTCTAATGCAAACCCAGCTCCTTCTTCCCTCTCTTGGTGGGTTCTCACTCTTCCTGCCCCTGCTGGCTCTCCTCATGATCTTGTTTTGTGTGTCTCTTCCTGGCTGTGTCTCTTCTGCTCATAACACCCTCTCACTTGTTGCTCACCGCAGTCCTTCAGCCTCCTGATGTCTCACCTTTCGGCTTCCACTCCCACTGCTGGGTGCCTGATTCTCTCCACATTTCTTCCTTACACCTGAGCTTATGGATATAGTTGGGCCATCCTTACGTTGTTTTGGCAGGTTTGTCATATACAGCTACTACTTAGGCTAATTTTTGGTCTATGGATTGGCTTGCAAAGTGAGACCAGTGTTTGAACAGTGATGCTTGAGGGTGTTCCTGATGAGCTTTGAACTAATTTTTTTTTTAATTTTTTTTTTTAATGTTTATTTATTTTTGAGACAGAGAGAGACAGAGCATGAACAGGGGAGGGGCAGAGAGAGAGGGAGACACAGAATCTGAAACAGGCTCCAGGCTCTGAGCCATCAGCCCAGAGCCCGACGCGGGGCTCGAACTCATGGACCGTGAGATCATGACCTGAGCCGAAGTCGGACGCTTAACCGACCAAGCCACCCAGGCACCCCATGAACTAATTTTTTTTTTAATGCAGTTTCTTTCTTTGTTGTCATCATCCATGTCCTTGGCATTCCTGTCCTGTGTGTTTACACCTCAGGAGCCACAGTTATTTTTTTTTAATGTATGTTAGATCATGTCACATCTTTGCTCAAAACCTAATGGTTTCTCATCTCAGAGTAAAGGTTAAAGTCCTTGGCCTGTAAGGATTTATATAATCTTTTTTTTTTTAATTTTTTAACATGTATTTATTATTGAGAGAGACAGAGCATGAGCATGGGAGGGGCAGTGAGAGGGGGAGACACAGAATCTGAAGCAGGCTCCAGGCTCTGAGCTGTCAGCATAGAGCCCGATGTGGGGCTCGAATCCACAAACCACAAGATCATGACCTGAGCAGAAGTCGGATGCTTTACCGACTAAGCCACCCAGGTGCCCCAGGATTTATATAATCTTAATGCCACCTCTCTTCCCATAACGCTCCTTCCATCTGGTACTCTTCTCTCCCTCACTTTGTGATTGTGGCCACCTTATGTTTCTAGAACATTCCAAACACTGTTTTGCTTTAGGTCTTGCTACTTGGCATTTGCTCTGCCTGGAGTCCTCTCTTCCCTCAGATGTCTGCCTGAATCAACTGTCTTATTTCTTTGCTCAAATGTCACTGTATCAGTTAAGCCTTCCTTGACCACTGTTTAAAATAAGTCTTCCATTTCCACCCCATGGTTTCCTCTTCTGCTTCGTTTTACTTCAGAACATATCACTATCTGACATATGCTGTCTTGTTTCTTGTCTCTCTCCCCTAATAGTAGGTAAGCTCAATAAGGGTAGGGAATTTTGCTGCCAAGAATGGTAACTGGCAGAACAGAAGACAATAGATATTTGTTCAAAGGTGTCTGTTTCTATCAAAATTTGATTAAATGTAGCTAAATCTGGGGGGGGTGGGGAAGAGAACTATTACCATATCGCAGTGTCTTCCAGCCTACTTCCTGACTTGCTTTTACATGGCAGAGGGCCTGTTTCTTCTTTATACCTGGGGTACCATTCAAGCAAATCCTTAAAACCGGATCCAAGGAAACAAGATTTTTCAGTGTCAAGGGATGAGCCACCACTCAATATCTGAAACATAAACGAAGTACTGAATGTTTCTTTTTACTTAAGTAAGAGAAAACCATACTTTCAAGCACAGTCTTCTTGAATTAATGCAAACTGCTAATCTCATATAGAATTTTGGGGAAGACGTTGTTTTTGGTATGTTGGTTAAGAGGCAATGGTGGGTTGATGTCAGCCAAAGAAGCATGTTTAACGGTTGGTTACAGAGGCGAGAGCAGGTTAATGTCAGCTGTAGAAGCAAGTAATTCCACTGCTGAATGGCTGACTTCTAAAGCCTGAGGCTATCACTCATTGGCTGACTTTCCAAGGCATGTTCACTGAAGCGAGTTGTCACTGATCTGTTAGACCTTGTTTATTTGTTACCATAGCTACAGAACTGTCATCAATTAGTTACACGAGGTTAAAGCCAGCCCTGGTGGTGGTTACCGTGGCCGTAGAATATCTTTTCCTAAGAATATGGAGACAAGAATCATGTCTCTTTACCTGAGAATGGTCTGTCTTCTCAAAACTTAATACTGGAAATAGATGTTCTACCCATAAAAGTGTAGCCTTTTCAGATGTCCATAAGAGGGCAGCTATATAAAGTGGACACACTCTGAGTAGTAGCCTCATAGCTGTACCGTTGTAAAAATCAAAGGATTGACAGACTGCGTGAGTAAGGTAAAGAGACAAAACTCAGAAAGATTTTCATAAGTAACACAGATACAGGGATGTAAAGGAAACCTCTTATGATACCCCTATGAATGGAGAGGATGCTGTTAAGGATCCTGAACTTGCTCAGTCTTTTCTCTTTGAACCACTCATGAAACATTTACTTATCCAGTCTTTTATTTTTTATTTTTAAAGTTTATTTATTTGAGAGAGAGAGAGATAGCATGAGTGGGGGGAGGGGCAGAGAGAGAGAATCCCAAGCAGCAGAGCCCAACACAGGGCTCAAACTCACATACCGCAAGATCATGATCTGAGCCGAAACTAAGTGTTGGACGCTTAACCGACTGAGACACCCAGACACCCCCTTATCCAGTCTTTTAAGGTGAAGGGGATTCGTGTCAAATAATCTCTCAGTTGGTCAGTAAGCACCTTATGTTAGGAGCTATAACTTGTACATCTTTAAGGCCCCCAGAGAGCATAGCACGATGTTTTTGCACACTGAAATGACTTAAGAAATGCTTGCTAATTTAATTGGAATTTTCTTGTGTCACTTTTTCTTAAAATATTTAGTTATATAAAGCCAAACAGGGTGCCTGACTGGCTCAGACAGTAAAGCATGCAGCTCTTGATCTCAGGGTCATGAGTTCAAGCCCCACATTGGGCATGGAGCCTACTTAAAAAATAAATAAAACCACACAGACTGAACAAGAAATTGCAAGTCCTCATGATGAAAGTGGTAAAGTGCTTTCTTTTTTTTTTTTTTTTTTTTTTTTCAACGTTTTTTATTTATTTTTGGGACAGAGAGAGACAGAGCATGAATGGGGGAGGGGCAGAGAGAGAGGGAGACACAGAATTGGAAACAGGCTCCAGGCTCCGAGCCATCAGCCCAGAGCCTGACGCGGGGCTCGAACTCACGGACCGCGAGATCGTGACCTGGCTGAAGTCGGACGCTTAACCGACTGCGCCACCCAGGCGCCCCAAAGTGGTAAAGTGCTTTCTTAATTATTGTCTTCTATTTTTTAGATCCTGAGTTCACATCAAACTTGGTATTTCTGAAACAACCTTCTTCCTTAGTCAGAGTCCTTGGTCAGAATGCAGTGTTGCCGTGTGTCGCTTCAGGACTTCCTCCTCCAGCCATTAGATGGATGAAAAATGAGAAGGCACTTGACCCAGAAAGGTAACGTTGTCTGCCTAAAAGCCTTTTTCAGCCTTAGCTTCAGACTTGGTCTAATCTTGTTTGGGACTACTGATTAATAATGGAAAAAAATGGCCATCTACTTTATTTTTTGTTTAAACACATTATAATGCTCATTTGTCATTCTTGAAATAGTTTCTATACTGTATATGATAAGGATGTTTAAAGAAAAAACTGCTTTCAAAGTACTAAGCGTTTATTCCATTTGTTCCTTCTGAGCTACAGTATACTTAGCTTAAGGCCTCAAGACCTCCTTCCCTAAACTGTTGCAAGAGTTTCTGGTTCTGACTAGCCTGAGGCTTATCATTCATTTTCATGAGTGCAATTTGCATTTTGTTGGTAGTAGTTTTCTTTAACAATAAAAGAAAATGTGTTCCTCATCCTTTTGTTTTTGCCTTTTAAACTCCTGCCACCCTTCTTCTGTGATCAAAATTCTTCCTCTTCCACAAAAACCTTTCTATTAACATCAGCCATCATGTCACCCCTCATTACTTCTTATGTAATGGGCACTTGACCTACGTAATGGGTGCTTTTCTCTGTTGTACTTTGATAAAAGAACTGAGGTAGTGGCAGTGGTGGTATTCAGGTATATTTTGTTTCCAAAACAAAGTTATCTTGTGCGTTGTAGAATGTTTGGCCTCTGCCTGCTAGATGCCAATAGCACTCCCAAGTTGTGACAACCAAAAATGTTTCTAGAGCTTGCCAGATGTCCCCTGGGGGACAAAGTGGTCCCAGTTGAGAACCACTGTTGCAGAGTAGTACTGTCCAATAGAGATATGATGCAAGCCACATATGTAATTTAAAAGTTTTGGTAGCTAAGTTAAAAAAAAAAACCAAGATGTACATGTGCACCACTAAATACAATAATAATAATTTTACAGTGCACCAGTTAAAGTGAAATGTAGCTCTACCAAACAATAAAGTCATGGTTAGTGTTACTTCAGCTTTTTAATTTTTTTATTTTTTAAAGTTTATGTATATATTTTGAGAGCGAGAGAGACAGAGTGCAAGTGGGGGAGGAGCAGAGAGAGAAAGAGAGAATATTCAAGCAGGCTCTGCACTGCCAGCATGGAGCCTGACATGGGGTTTGAACCCACAAACCATGAGATCATGACCTGAGCCGAAATCAAGAGTCAGATGCTCAACCATCTGAGTCATCCACACACCCCTGTGTTGCTTCTGCTTTTATATTTAAATAAAAATTAAATAAAAATCAGCATTCAGTTCTTGAGTCATTCTAGCCACAGTTAAAGTGTCAGAAGCCACGTCTGGCTAGTGGTTATTGATTTGGACCGAGCAGGTCTAAAGACTCCCAGCTGAGTAATCCAAAGTAAGCAGACAGTCTTAGTTTGTGCACTTGAGTAACCAAGACCTGGGAAGGGGTATCTGTCTAGTCAGCTTGGTGATTGACCTTCAGGTGGGGATGATAGACTGCAGTAAGGTGTTCCATTACCAGAACTAATGGTATCATCTCCAATATCACCTCTTTCTTTCTCAGCACCCATCCAGTCACCAACTACTTCTGCCTCTATTTTACTCCTTTCTTGCCACTCCTTTCTCCAGCTGAATATTTTGCAAAGAATCTGTAAGACCTCAAGGGAATATTTAAAATGTATGCCAACTGAAACATAGGGAACCTTTGAAAAGGGCATAAAAATTTGAAGCTCTTAGAGTAGCAATTTTAATTGGCTACATCTTCGAACATAATCTTTATCAGCAGTAGGAAAACTGAAGTAGGTTATCTTAAAAGATTTTGTATTTTATCATCATAGAAGGACATTCGGAGGATAGATAATGATAAAGGAGGTTGAGTTCTTATGTAAGAAATAAAAGTGAGGGGGCGCCTGGGTGGCGCAGTCGGTTAAGCGTCCAACTTCAGCCAGGTCACGATCTCGCGGTCCGTGAGTTCGAGCCCCGCGTCGGGCTCTGGGCTGATGGCTCAGAGCCTGGAGCCTGTTTCCGATTCTGTGTCTCCCTCTCTCTCTGCCCCTCCCCCGTTCATGCTCTGTCTCTCTCTGTCCCCAAAATAAATAAAAAACGTTGAAAAAAATTAAAAAAAAAAAAAAGAAATAAAAGTGAGGATTGCTGTGATTCTCATTTGCTTATTCAATAATTATCAACATATTGAACGCCAATTATGTTAAGCACTGTTCTAGGTACTGGGAACAGAGTAGTGAACCAAATAGACTTTTGCTGTTACGAATCTCATATTCTAGTGGGGAAGAGTCGGACAGTAATTATAGAAGCATGTAAAATTTCAGTTTATGGTAAGTGCTATGAAGAACATTAAGACAGAGTATGCCAGGGATGCCAAGAGAGGTAGAGGTAGGATTGCTGTTTTATTTATAATGTGTTGGACAGTTGTTCTGTTAGTAAAGTGATTCTCAACTGGGCTCTAGATGTGGGTTGGGGTATACAAACCATGGTAGAAATGTTACATATCTTCCTTTTATGTTGCATAAAATTGTTATATTCAATTTTATTCAAAGATATTTCTCAGGGAAATTTTTTTTTAATTTTTAAAAAATATTTATTTTTGGGGCGCCTGGGTGGCGCAGTCGGTTAATCGTCCGACTTCAGCCAGGTCAAGATCTCATGGTCCGTGAGTTCGAGCCCCGCGTCGGGCTCTGGGCTGATGGCTCGGAGCCTGGAGCCTGTTTCCGATTCTGTGTCTCCCTCTCTCTCTGCCCCTCCCCCGTTCATGCTCTGTCTCTCTCTGTCCCAAAAATAAATAAATGTTGAAAAAAAAAATTAAAAAAAAAAAAATTTATTTTTGAAAGAGAGCACCAGAGAGAGAGTTGGGGAGGGGCAGAGAGAGAGGGAGACACAGAATCCAAAGCAGGCTCCAGGCTCTGAGCTGTCTGCACAGAGCCCAGCGTGTGGCTTGAATCCATGAACCATGAGATCGTGACTTGAGCCGAAGGTGGACGCTTAACCAACTGAGCCATCTAGGTGCCCCAAAAATGTTTTGTAATTAAACCAAATGTGAATATATCATGGCTAGTAGTATCCCTCTGAATTTTAAGGATAAGTCAGAAGACTTAAGACTAAGTAGACTGTTTTCTACCTTGAGTTCTCCAGGTTTCTGAATACTTGGGTTAGGTGGTAGAAAAGTCTGAGAAGCATTGCTTTTGTATAGCACTGTCTCAGGAAGTTCACAAGCATATAAAAGGGCAAATGTTGATGTTGTTCATGTCAGTATTTCCAGACCCTCTTGTAGTGTGTGGCACATAATGGGGGAGGGAGAAGTGGTGACCAATATTTTTTGGTCAGATGTCTGAATGTAGTGTAGGAAAATCAGAGTCCTTCAGGTTAGATATAGGTAATTACTCAAAATGTCTTTGTTTCTACCAGTGTATCATGAGATATGTAGATGGGCCTTAGCTAATAAATTATTTAAACCTCAAATTAGAAAGAAATTTTGTAATTGGAAGAAACAAGTGGGTAGAAATCTAGATAGTTAGTACTAGGCTGGCTCTAGTAAAAATCTTTAACTGTTAGACATCTTCTCCATTGCTAATCTAAGACCTCTTTGAAAATGAATATTTTAAAACATTACTGGATAGGATTTAAGATGGTGGAGTAGTAGGAGCGCCCTAGGCTTGGCTTGTTCCTTGAACACAGCTAGATAAATATCAAATCATTCTGAATACCCAAGAAATTGATCTAAAGACTGACAGAACAAACTGCACAACTAGAGGGAGAGAAGAGGCCACATCGTGGAAGGTAGGTGTGGAGATATGATTTGGGGGAGAAGTAGATCATGGGTGCTGCAAAGATGAGAGAGAGAGAGAGAAAGAAAGAGAGAGAGATAGGGGATCACACAAGGAAAACACTTCTCCAAAACCATTGACTGGGAAAAGGAGAGGGGCTGATTTTTGTGTTTTTACAACCAACAAGGCTCAAAGACTTGAGTTTTGGAGGTCTGTGGCATGGGTGGTGTGGAGCCCAGAGGGCACTGTAGTGCTCCTGTAGAGAAGAAGGGCAGATAGCCCAGGGGCAGATGGTGTACTGGGAGAGGTGGTTCCTCCTTCTTACAGAGCATCTGGGAAAGGTGGCATTGTCTCTCCAGAGACAAAAGGGCTGGTGGGCACCATTAACCCTCCCTTGCCCCTCAGCATAGGCACAGAGCCATCTGCTGAAGGCAGCTAATGTGGACAGTGGCTCTTTGCTGTGCTTTACTCCAGATTCCACACCCCTGCTCTTTGCTGCAACTGCCCTTCTGGGACAAACCTACATCAGTCCCAATGTGGCAAGACCCTCCCTTAGAGGACCAGTGTGAGTCCATACCACACTAGTTCCCTAAAGTTTGGAGTTTTAAAACTCAGCCAGCCTGCCTGGGATAGAACACAGACACATTGTGCTGTTGGATGGGCAGATGCCCCACACATAGGCAGGGTGAAGGCAGTGAGCTGAAGGAAACCTGGGACACTGGGGGAGATTGTTTGCTCTTCTAGGAGGGCTCCTCGAACAGCAGTGGGCATGAACTCTCACTCTGGGCATGAGGGAGGGGGCTGGTGCCATTTCTGTCCCCATCCCTCAGGGTAAACTGACTTCAGTAAGCAGCACAGCACCAACAGTGGTGGCCTGAACCGCTTACATAAAGGCCCACCCCTCTGTACTTTGCACCCCTCTGCTTTTTGTAGGGAAGTGTGCCTGAGAACCAAAGCAGTAAGCCCCTCCCCCAGGAGACCAGCACAAACCCCCGACCATAGAGTTCTGCAAAGCTTCAACTCTGGTGGAAATAGCATCAGGTCTATTTTAACAAGCAGACAGACTAGAGCACACCTAATTAAAACCTGCCAGCCACACTCTGGCCAACGTCCAAACATTCCCCACTGCAGGCAAGGAGTAACTGCAGAGGACTGACCTGAGGGAAAGAGCAGCCAAAACACAGCAGTAGAGTGTACACAGAATACACCAGAGACACTTCCTGAAGCACCAGACCCTGGACAGTATATGGCGTCTTCTTCATAAAGCCG